GTACAATGCTTGTTATTTATACTATTGATATGAACTTCAAGATCATTTGTATAGGAGCAGAGAAATGAACAACCTTTAAAAACTGTCATCCAAAAATGGTTTTTTAAAATGCTGGATCAAGCCAGGTGTGGGCTCACTTCTGTAATCCCTAGCTACTAGAAGGATCTTGGGGGATTTTTATGTTGTTTTTGTTTTGTTTTGTTTTTTGTGGCACACTGGCATTGTACTCAGGGCCTCACACTTGCTAGTCAAGTTCTCTACCACTTAAGCCACTCCACCAGCTCAAGGGGATTTTGATGTAAGACCACCCAGGCAAAATTCTCAAGAAACTTATCTCAACCAATAAGGGAAAGCTGGGCTTGTAGACACGCTTGCTTCTGTATCCAGCTATGCGGTAAGTAAGCATAAATAGGAGGATCGTAGCCCAGGCTGGCCTGGGCATAAATTCGAAACTTATTTGAAAAAACCTATAGCAAAAAAAGGGGTGGAGATGTGCTCAAAGTACCTGCCTGGCAAGCAAAGGTCCTGAGTTTCAAACCTCGTAACTTGCCACCAAAAAAGGGAGGTGGCACAATAAAAGTAACTTTCACTGAATCTAATATAAACGAAATACAAGAGATATGGAATAGAATAATAGTCATAAATAAAACTTAGTTATTTAAACTGGTTATGATTAGCAGTGACAATGGAGGAAATTACCTTTTTTAAATAATTATAATGATCTTATAAACAGTATATTTCTAAAGATTTGTCCAAAATGCTTAAGTCAGATTCCAGACTTAATATCTATTATCTCATCCTGCCAATTTACAACATGAAAGTAATACCTCTCTTTTACCTTTTCTTTTAAAATTAAGATATGATTCCTTCACTAGTTTTCAAAAGACATAGGCTTTTCTACCAATAAGTGAAAAAATAATATACTGCTGAATATAAAATCATCATGATTTAATTAGCCAACTTACATTCTGACATTCTGCTGAAAGTTTGAGTTCTTTGGTTCTAGAAAGGTAAGACCTTAATTAGCGCACAAAGATTTCCTGTTCGAGATTGTTTTCAACTGCAGAGAAGAGAAGGATTTTAAAAAGTTAAAATAAAAACTAAAATCAAGTGAGCACCTTATAACAGTTATAAAACCAAACGTCAAATTAAAATTGCTTATTGACCAACCTTGTCTGCCAATGTCACTCTAGTTATGGTTGATGGCAGTGAAGAGAAGCTGCGGTCTGGTCTTACTCTGAACATGAAGTGACTTGTGAACGAAAACACCACAAACAGAAGAGGAAAGCACCAACTTATCTCAAAATACAAAATTGTAAAGGAAATGTATAAAGCCAATAAGTATATGCTATTCTGTTTGTCTTTCCAAAGAAGACTTCTTTTAAAACTCAAAATTTCACCATCTCTCTATATCTCTGTTCAGATCATCATAAATCATTCTCATGATAAATAAAAAGATATATAAACAAAGCAATGTGGCTAGATAGTGGAGCTAGCTAACCAGACAAAATTTTAAAGAATTATATATACATATAATATGTATTATATATATATATATATGTATAATCTACATCTGCACATACATACTTTAAAAGTACACAATGACACCATATCTACATTGTGCTCAGTAAATGCCAAGTTAACAGGTCAACTGCTGGACATGTGTCCTCCTCTCAGCTTGAGTCACTGTAAGTGTGCTTCGTGAACTAACAGTCAGCATTGTGTGACAGCTTGCTGGAAGTTCAAAATCCCAAAATCATCCTACACCACTGAAGCTGGGAGTGCTTCTAAACTTTAGTGTACATTAAATCAGAAGGTTATGTTTGTTTGTTTTTTCCCCAAAGGAAAGATCTTGCTGCCAGACACATGCCACCACCCCCAGCCACAAGCCACAAAGCATTTTATTAAAATGCAAATTATTGATTCACCAAGGGAAGTATGACCTGAAGCTCTTTATTTCTGAGAGTCTCAGGGGTGATGCCCACTGCTGTGGGCTGGAGAATCCCACCCAAGTGGCAAGACACACATGTGCTATAAATCAGAGGAGCTTTGTTTTTTTGGTAATTTGTTTTGGCTTTTTTTTTTTTTTTTTTTTTTTTTTTTTGTGTTTTCAGGCCCCATGTATACAGCCCAGGCTAGTCTCAAACTTAAGATCCTTCTCCAGAGTGCTGAGATTACAGGTATGTGCCACCACACCTGGCAAATTAGAGGAGCTTTTGTCCAGCTTTCACAATCAGGACTTGGGGGGGTAGGTGGCTCAAGTGGTAGAGTGCTTGCCAGGGTTCAATCCCCAGTACTAAGGGGGGCATTTGGCTAGATATTAGATTGTTATTCAAAGCTTCACTTTGAAACAAAATTTCCTATAGCTCTTTCATGCTCTGGGTTTAATTTAATGAAAGATACCTTGAGATTCAGGACAAAACTGCTTATTTAAAAACAAAACAAAACAAAAAAAAAAACAGCCAGCTTGGAGCATGGTTCAAGAGACAGAGTGCTTGCCTAGCAATTCTAGTATGACCAAAACAGTTAATGGTTACAAGTGCATCTCTGTGGGACTTAATATTATCGAGCTAGGGCAAATTAAAATAAAATACTGAAACAAACTAAGCTGAGGCTGACATGGCTACAACTATCATTCAGAACCCCAACTTCACAATCTTTGTTTATGTGACAGGCCCTTTATTGCTGAATGACTTTTTTTTTAGGGGGGAAAGGGTAGGAATATGGGGTTTAAACTCAGAGCCTTTCAGTGGTAGGCAGACACTATCACATCAACCATGCCCCCAGCCCTTTTTACCTTATTTTTCAAATACAATCTCATGCTTTTTTTCCCAGGAGGCTGGTCTTAGATGGGGATCCTTCTACCTATGCCTCCCACACAGCTGAGATTACAAAAGTACACCATCACATCTTGTTTATTTGTTGAGATGAAGTCTTGCTATCTTTTTTACCTAGGCTGACTAATCTTTGCCTCCTAAGTAGCTGGGATTACAGATGTACACTACCACACCTGATCTATTGCTAAATGACTTTAAAAATTATATGAATTTATAAACAGCTCTTTTAAAAAACCCCTTGTTATTGGAAAGAGCAATAGACTACAAGATTGAGGTACTTCAAGCTTTGTGGACCTTTTTCATCTGTGCATTCACTCATTCATCATGCATTTATTGAGCCACTCATATGTGCCCACACTGTTTCAGGCTCTCAGAGAACACCCATAAACAGAACTCCCACTCTTTGTGAAGTTTATATCCCAAGATAGTTGAAAAGTTTCCACAGGACTCTTTTGTCCTTTTTTGGAATAAGATAGAGAGCAAAAGGATAAGTTAATAAGATTAAATGTGCTCAGGGCTGGAGGCATGGCTCAAGTGGTAGAGTGCCTATCTAGCAAGCAAGAGGCCTGAGTTCAAGCCCTAGTATCACCAAAAGAAAAACCAAAAAAACAAATTAAATATGCTCAACCATTTTACAAAACAATATCCCACAGGAGACTTGAAATTCCAAAATAGCTCAATTGTAACAACAACAGAATTTAATAGCACTAAGGTTAATTGGTAAAAATAAAACACAGTGTTGAAGTTGAATGAGCTTCAGGAGCCACGGCAGCACTAGGGGTACCTGACAAGAAGGCAGGAAAGTGTTATAACACTAAAGAATCTAACATATTATAAATCCCTCAGCAAATAACACCACTTATATGAAACTGTGCATAGAAATCAACACACATTTTACACAACAGATGAGCAGGATAGGGATGCAATTCAATGGCAGAGTGCTTGTCTACCAAGCACGAGGTGCTGGTTCCATCCCCTGCACCACAGTGATAATCTATGTGTTGGTAAAGTGGGGTGATTTTTATTTTAGCATGTCACTGTATTGTTGGAATTTTTGACAATAAATGTGTATTTTCTCCTACTGTTCCCAAAAGGTTTTTTGTTTGGGGGCACTGGGTTTTGTTGTTGTTGTTGTTGTTGTTGTTTTGTTTTGCAGAGACAGTGTCTCCTTGTTTAACTCAGGCTGGCCTTAAACTCAAGATGCTCTTGTCTCAGCCTCCCAAATGCTGGAATTATAGATATGTATCACCATACCCAGCTCTAAAAGTATTTTTAATGACAAATTTCCAATACAATGCAAGTGAAAACAAACACTAAAAACAATTGTGTGTATAGTGATGACATGTATATGTATAGCTATAGAATAAATAAAAGACAACACAAAATATTACCAATGACCATTGTCAGGGTTGCAGAATGATGAACAGTTACTGATTTTATATTTTAGCGTACTTTCAACATTATAGATAATGAGTAAATGTTGCTTCTATTTTTTCTTTCTTTTTTTTTTTTTGAGACAGGCTTCACTGTGTAGTGCAGGTGAGGGTCCAACTCAGTATGTAGCCTAGGCTGGCCTCAAACTCACAATCCTCCTGCCTTAGCCTACTTTCAATTATTAAAATGTAATTTTCATAAAAGCTCAAGGTCACCTTAAATCCATCTTCATAACAACTATACTGATATTACTTCTATCTACAACTCTTTAATTTTCAGCACTGAACTGTCACGTGGTCATCTCTATTTAGCACAAAATTCTCTATCTATGATAATTCAAGGCAAATACAATAATACCTCTGTCATTACCGACATAATTTGTTTTTAAAACAAAATATTTCATCAAAGACTGTTTTTGGAAAAATATAACTGATTATGAGTTATCTACATAGATCACATCCAACGTGGCATTACCACTTATTACAGCCCCAATACACAGAATATCACTAATTTTCAAAGCAACAATACAATGTAATTATAATTGTCTATGATTTTAAAAGCAAGTACATTCCTTTCCGATCACTAGCAACTTGAAAGTAAAGCATTTGAAAAGTGAGGCCTGGAAAAGGTAACATCTGTTGGTTTAAATGGAGAGTAATGACGAGATGCTATGTATTTCACTGGACATTTCAAGTTATATGATCTTTTTCCTTTCAAGAATTCTATAAAATCATTGTTTCTAAACCCAGTTTCCATGAGGAAATTAAGGTTCAGCTAGTAAGTTACAAAGCTGAAATTAAGATCTTAAAAATCATTCCACATCCCATGTTTTTTACCGTAACATCAAGTTGTTATAGAGAAGCTTCCTAATTTTAACGAGTAGAAATTATTCTGGTTGACACAGATAACAGTGGCATATGTAGTCAGGGCAGCTGGCAAATCACTGGGCAAATGGTGACTTCCATACCAACTATCCATGCCACTATATAAACAACCTAATGTTTCGATTTTTCTCAATGCTTCAACATTCACAAAAAGAACAAGCTGAAAGGGTACCTCTGACTCACTACTACTACCACTACAAACACAGCCAAGTGTGTGTTGACTGGATGGTACTCGCTGACTTGATACTTCCCTCTAGTAGCATCAATGAGTACCATGAATAGAATTATTACCATTACTAGCATCCTCATGAATATATCACTTCATTAATCCAATTCACATTATGCTATTAAAAATTATAACAGATAACTGGAAAAACTCTCTCTCCCCCCCCCATCCCCCTCCCCCTTACCTAAAGATTTGCACACTGAAATGGTTGCCTCCTCCAACAGCTTCAACTCGGTACTAGAGAGACAAAACGAGAAAAATAATTTATAACTATGATATTAAATATGTAAACACTAGCCAGTTAAAGGAGATATAAGTAAGAGAAAAATAAATTAGAAGAAAAGTATGATTGATACACAGGTAAACACAATCAGCAATATAAAATAAAGCTTCAATTTTCAATGTAATTAGGAAGTTTACTCTATTTTTTAAGCAATATAATTTATTTTTTCTTTATTTATTTATTCATATGTGCATACATTGTTTGGGTCATACTCTAGTTTTCAATGTGCAATTAACTGCTAAAAGAGAAGAGCTTGGGGTGCCCTGTCTTTTAGGCCCTAGGACAGAGAAGAGTAGAAAAATTCAAGGCAGTCACTCCAAAACAGAGAACACAGGGTAAGGGCCCCTGTTCCCAATTCTAAAACATTACTGATAAGGGAATTATAGCTATTTAGAAAAATACCATTATTTTTTAGGATATATATATATGAAGTACCATGATATCTGCAATAGTTTGTAATAGTTGGACAAAAAGAAAAGGGAAGAAGCAAGGCAAGAAAAGAGAGAATGCATATACAAGCTTCAACAGTTCACAATTTCATATATATTTTAAAAAAAGCAGATTCAGACATATACATAGCGTCACAAATACAGAGACAGGGAGCTGGAGGCATGATTCCTAGGCAAATGCCTAGGAGACACAAGGCCATGAGCTCAAACCCCAGTGCCAGGAAAAAAAAACAAAAAACACAGAGACAGACACAAAGTGAAGGAGTGCCAAGAGGCACAGACAGACAAAGGACAAACTCTTAAGAAGAAAATCTAGGGGAAAGTAAGTTTTATGACATTTGAATTTGATAATAATTTCTTAGATATGACACCAAAATCACAGTGATCAAAAGAAACAATAGATGTGATGGACTTTATCAAAATTAAAAACTTCTATGAGTTCTAGAGTAAAAAGCCACCCTACAAACATGAAAATGTTTGGAAAGCATATAATATGATAAGGAATTGACATCCAGAATGTATCTTTAAAAATTCCTACAACTCAACAACAAAAAAAAACAAACAAACCCAAAGTACTCAATTAAAAAGTAGGCAAAGGAATGCAGCATGGTGTATACCTGTAATCCAAGATGACTCAGGAGGATTTTGAGTTCAAGGCCAGCCTAGGCTACATAGTGAGACCCTGTCTCAAAAAAAAAAAAAGAGAATGTTTTGACACATGCTATAACATGGATGAACCTTGAAGACATTAAGCTAAGTGAATCAGTAACAAAAAAGATAGATATTGTATGATTCCTCTTATATGCAGTACTAGGAGTGGCGGTTGGCAACAGCTGGGGAGAAAGGAATGGGGAGTTAGTGTTTGTTTTTGGCAGTACTGGAATTTTGAACTCAGGGCCTACCTCTTGAGTCATGCCTCCAGCCCTTTCTGCTGGAGTTATTTTTCAGATAGTCTCACGTTTTTTGCCTGCTGTCAGCTTTAGATGGTTTCTATGCCTCCCAAATAACAGGTATTACAGGCATTATGGTGCACTACCATACCTGGTTTGTTCTTTGAGATAGGGTCTCACTAATATTTTTTACCCAGGCTGCCCTTGAACCATGATCCGCTGATCTCAGCCTCCCAGGTAGCTGGGATTATAGAGTAAACCACTGTGCCCAGCAGAGTTAGTGTTTAATAGACAGAGTTTCAGCTGGAAAATGTGAAAAGTTCTAGAGATGGGTGGAGGTGGTAGTTTAAAAAAAAAAAAAAACACTGTGACCATACTTAATGCTACAAAAAGTACACACATAAAAATGGTTAAAATGAAGTTTTATGTTGTGTGTATTTCATCCCAATTTTTTTTCTTTTATTCATACGTGCATACAATGTTTAGGTCATCCAATTTTTTTTAAATGCATTCCCACACTAGTTTAACGACTAGCCAGATAAGTGACCTTGGAATAGTTTCCTAATTCCTTATGTTTAGTGTTCCATATATAAAAAACAGAGATAAGAATATACTTTCATTGGCTTGTTTGTCATGGCTAAATTATAATATGTGTAAAGCATTCAGAATAGTTCCTGGCACAAAGTAAACTCTCAATAAATGACAATTATTATTGACCCCAAAATGGAGTGGGTTTTTTTCCTCTAGTTAAACTAAAATAATGCCATACATTTGTAGAATCTTATGTCTTTCAAAGCACTCTCAAATTTATTAGTGCATTTACATTCCACAAAAATCATTTCTAATGAGCAGACCACTAGAGAGAAGTAAATTGAGGCTCCAAGAGTTTAAAGACTTCCACAAATCAGAAGTCTTGAGAAAACCAGCTTTCAAGCCTGGTGACTTGGGCAAGGATTTTGCAGCCTTTCTTCCCAATATACAAATCCTATAAACACAGCAATCCTACAAATAGGGAACACTTCTGCGGCTTGTGTAAAAATCCCTAGACCTAGAATTCTTTGATGCAGGGTGGTTGCTATGAAGTACATTTTTTCAAAAGAGTGAACTAGAAGTTGGATGAGAAGATCTTAAAAACACTGAGGAAGAACTTGACTGCTTTAACAGTTTCTAAACTGTTCCAATATTGAAACACTAGCTAGCTACAAATTGAGATCTGCTGGAATGTAAAATACACATCAGATTTTCAAAATTCAAAAGGGTAGAAATACTTCTTCTTAATAGTCAGAAAAATATATTTAGATATTTTGGACTTCCCTGCAACTGCGCGACAATGTCATACACTAAAATATTATCATATACATAAACTAGAACCACTAACAAAGTAATTGAATATCCATTGCCTTAAGGATCCCATATTATATTAAAAAGAACAGACACGTCTTTTCAAAGTTAAATCTTCAGTTTTACATAAGATTGAATTTTCTGGACAGATAAACTAGAAATGAACTTAGCAGAACTAAAAAAAACACCAACAAGTGCAGGGGAAGACGCAGGAACCTCTTCTCCAAACCACCCCTTGCCTCCGGACTTCTCTGGGGCCAGCAGCCGACAGACTAGGGGCCTGGGGCCACAGGCTCAGTGTCCAACCAGCACCTTGCTGGTGGCTGCGCCAGGGCAGCACCAGCCGATGAAGAGCCACAACTGCTGCACAGTACAGGCATCTGTAAAGTGCTCAACATGCACGTGGTTTGGCTTCCTGTCCTGACCGCCTGCACTGGGTCTAGTTCTACCCCACCGCACCCCACCCCCAGCCCCAGATATCTTTGTGCACTAGAGTAAGCTGCACATGGAGGGCTTACGGAGCCTGAAGGGGTGAGGCAGTGGAGTTCACCTTTAAGAAGTCTACCAAAGGCCTGGAATCCATCCGTGTCACGGGCCCTGGTGGCATGTTAGGAGTGAGAGGTAGCCAAAGGGGAAGAACATACAGAAGCACAGATCCAAAGGAGACAGGTGCTACAACTGCAGTGGTCTAGACCATCATGCCAAGGAATGCAAGCTGCCACCCCAGCACAAGAAGTGCCAATTTTGCCAAAGCATCAACCATATGGTGGCCTCATATCCGCTGCAGGCCCAGTAGGCCCCCAGCTCCCAGAGAAAGCCTGCCTACTTCCAGGAGGATGAAGAAGAGCTCCATACCCCTGCTCTGCTCCCAGATGCCCAGAATTGAACCACCAGGGTTGGGCTATTCTTTTTCTATAAGGAAGCTTCAAGGAGTAGGCATCAATCAGCAGAGTGGAGAAAGTGGGGATAGGGTGGGGTTGAGGGGGTAGCTGGCACTGCCATGTATCTCAGGCCGGGGTTCCCAGCATCACCCCATCTTCCCTCTTTGTGGGTGGAAGAGTTGAGGCAACAGAACCCCAATCATGTGCTATCAAATGCAAGTGAGGGCTTTTGGGGAAAACCCTAGAACCTGCATGCTTTATCTGAGTCTTCACCCCAAGACCTTCAGCTTTTAAAAGTGGCCTGCATTGGGAAGTTGTACTCCTTTTAAAGATGGATTTGTAATATCCACATGTAAGACCAGATTAATAGCCCAAATCCACAAGCTTCTACCTTCTGCGGGAAGGCATCTCAGGAGCAAGGCAGAGTGTTTTTTGTTTTTTCCACATCTTGTTTCCTCGTAACCCAATCTTGGGATATGGTGCTGGGAACTTTTTCAAGCAGTGGGTTATGATGACAGATAAAAAGGGTGGTTGGCTCCTAACTCCCACCTCTTTCTGGGCCAATTTGATTTTATTTATTTGCTCCCTTGGATAACTGCACCTTGGGCTCCACTTTCTCTAGGGTGCCAACTGCATTATCAATTGCACTATATGCAACTGACATATCTTGTGCATTTTAGCTTTTTTCTTAATATAAATATTCTGGTTTTGTATTTTTGTATATTTTAATCTAAGGCCCTCATTCCTGCACTGTGCTCTCAGGTACACTGTGCTCTCAGGGATAAGTCAGCAGCAGCTATGGTCTGCACAGCAGGAATACTTTTTGTTGTTTTTATCACCATGGAGAGCAACCATTAGGCGTGCACAGCCTATCGAAATACCTCATTTTGCCAACTAGAGCTGGCTTTTCTGCTATAGTGTCCTCTTGAAACCCTATCCACCTTGAAAATATTTTATGGGAGACTAGGTTTTAATTGTGTTGCCCCATGACTTGATCTCCTTCTGCTGAAAGATTGCAAATTAGTCTAAACAGGAAACATTCAGAAAAGTTAGGAGAGGCTGGGCCTGGGAAAATCTCAGAGAGGAAGCCAAGGTTAGGTGATGACTGTCTAATCTTAGGTCACAGGTCTTGCTTTCCATACCAATCCATCCTTCACTGGATTAGCCTACATCTAACATGCACAACAGGAGGTGTGTGTTTTTAAAAAAAAGAAAGAAATGTAAGTTAGTAAGGCTGAGTTTCAAGACCAATATACTTGTGCCCACCCTGTACTGTCCAGGCATGACTGTATGAAACAAGGACCCAAATCCTTAGCCTTTCAAAATTCTTGGCTTCCAGGAGACATGTAAGTGAGGGCCTCTTTGTGGTGCCCGGAGCCAGTGTTCTACTCTGCTGCAGTAGTGGTTAATAGTGTTGTGGTAGCTAAAGGAGAAAAGGGGTTTCATTTACATGCTGCGAGATCACCGCAAACCTACCTCACTGTGTTGAAATGGGACAAATGCAATAAACGCATTGGGTGGTGTGTGTCTGATCCTAATTTCTTGCTCCCCCAAATACTGTCCCCTCTAGTAATTGTATTTGTCTGGGTTGTGTAGACTTTACTGAGTCTCTAAGTTGTCAGCTGCTAGGTGGCCTAGTTTGTGTATACATAATGTGTTGCTCTTTCTCCCTGTTCTTTTGAGGTCTATTGTTTACAAACTTTTTGTATTGAGCAAAAAAATAGCCAAAGCATCTTTGACAGAAGGTTCTGCAGCAGACAAAAGGATCTGAAACACAAGTCTGGAGAGCCCTCTTCTTGAAGCGGGATCTTGAACCATCTTTTTCTTTTGTGCTCCTTTTCCCTTTCACATTTTGGATCAGATTTTCTGTCCTAAAAGTGACTTCTATCCTACCTAGCTCTTTTCCCTCAAAAAGAAACCTACATGACCATACATGTTTAATTCTTGGAGTGTCTCTACAACTCCAAATGATTTATGCAAAAATTCTGAAGAAGCTAGGAGCTCTCTCCCCTTATTTCCAACCTCCTGAGTCAGGACCATTTCTTGATGTGATTCTTGCCAAACATGAAACCTGCTGTGTTTCAATGGATCAAGCCTATTTTTTCTGTAATCCTAGAGAGAAGCAGTTGGGGGGCTTCCCATATAGAAAGCTGGGTCAGGAAACCAGGAAAGGCAATTTGAATGTATACTCAAGTCACTCAGGAACTTTTATGCAGGTGCAAGAAGCTTATGTCAAAGCAGTCACAAGACTGTTTAATAGGAGACAGACGAATGTAACTCCATGTTTACTGCTAGAAACCACAGCTTTGTGAGGAATCTTAACTTTATGGGGAGGGAGGGAGGGAGGGTGAGCAATGAGTACTGTCTGTCCTTTCCCTCATCTCTTCTCTTTTCTGAACTGCAGGAAACTAAGCTCCCTTGGAATGAAACCTACTTGATCATGGTGTATGATCTTTTAAATGTGCTATTGGATTCTGTTAGCACGTATTTTGTTTTATTTTTAAAATTATTTTTATCAGCATATAATAGTTGTACATGGGGA